AGCCCCTGGATCCAGCCTGTCCAGGTCCCTCTGCAGAGCCCTCCTGCCTTCCAGCAGATCCACCCCCCAGCTCGGTGTCACCTGCACGTTTGCTGATGGTTCACTCGATCCCCTCACCCCGACCATCAATAGAGACATTGAACAGGACTGGGCCCAACTGGGGACACCCCCAGTGCCCAGATCCCCCCTGGATGCAGCTCCATCCCCCTGGGGACACCCCCAGTGCCCAGATCCCCCCTGGATGCAGCTCCATCCCCCTGGGGACACCCCCAGTGCCCAGATCCCCCCTGGATGCAGCTCCATCCCTCAGCACTCCCTGGCCCTCCAGCCAGTTCTTGACCCAGCAATGTGGTTCAATGTTGGGAAATCCTTAATTCCAACTCCCTTCATGCCAGTGAAGTTGACTGAACCCGATTTTACTCTAATAGAGGTGTCTGTAAAGTGATAAATAATCAACCCTGCGGTGCCAGAGTAGAATGAGAGAATCCCAGAGTGGTTTGGGTTGGAAGGGACCTTAAAGCTCATCCAGTTCCACCCCCTGCCCAGAGCAGGGACACCTTCCACCAGAACAAGTTTCTTCTTGAAACCCTAATTCTTAGACCAGAGTTTGTTCCTAAGGGGATAAGTCTGAGAGCAGGTTGCTGATGGAAGGGGGAGCTCCCAAATCTGGCAGAGTTGTGCTGATGAGGTGTTTGGTTTCTCTTTTGTCTGTCCTTTCAGCCACCCAAAGCCAGAAGGTTTGGCAGCTGCTAAAAAGCTGTGTGAGAACCTCTTGCAAACGGTGAGTAGCTCTTACAAACACGAGCTGTCAGAGCCTGGTGGAGCTTTGGGGGGTGATTTTTTAATGCTCTTTTTGATGCCTGTGTGTCTGACTTGCTCGTGGGTTTTCCCTTCCAAGAGCTGCTGCCTTAATTCTTGTACAGACAGTGAACATTTCTCAGGATGGAGCTGTAGTAGTGGAATTTCAGGGGGGGAAAAAAGCTTCCCATGTTGTCCAGAGCTGCACTGTCTGCTTCAGGAAAGAGGAAGCAACTGGTGTAACCAAAAAAAAATCCTGGAAAATCTCTCACAAAATGAGTTTCTCTCTCAAGCTTTTCTCACGTGAATGCAAATGGAGTAAAACCCCGGGGGTTTCTGTTAATATTCTGTTAATGTTGATAATTGAGTGTAGGCTACAGAGTTTCCTTTGACAAAAATACATGGAAGCTTTTGGGTTCTCAGAGTATCTCGTCTCTGCTGTAGCAATTTATTTGCCCTTCTCTTTTTTTTCACTTCTCTTAACCTGGGAAAGGTTATCCCATATTTTACAGGGATCTACCCCAGAGGGGCCAGCAGGGGCTGTTCCCTGGGGTGTTGGTGGTGGGTGTTGATGTTTGGGTTACTGCTGTCCTTGTGCCTGGCGTGTTCTGTGATCAGCAGGACACACTCCCAGGTTTGGGGGGGTTCATTTGGGAATAGATGTTTCTTGTGTGAGCTCTGGGAATCCTTTGCAGGTTCACGCCGAGTACTCCCGCTTTGTGAACCAGATAACCACTGCAGTCCCCCTGGCAGGTAACTCCCAGCCCAGCTTTCAGAGCCCAGCCCCTTTTCCATTTGCTGTTTGTTGCCGTGGAATTTTGGTGCTGAAAAAAATCTCCAGGGCAGTTAATTGGGGGTGAGATAAGAAAGGGTTTATTTTGCCAAGGCTAAGATGTTACAAGGCCGTGCCTGAGAGGTTACATTTTTATAACACCATCCCTCCAATCCCTGATGTGTCCACCCTGTGGCCTTTACTCTGGTCTGCCCTGGGTCCACCCCCTGAAAATGGGTCTGGGGTGCACTTTGGGACCCCCTGTTCATCCCACCTTCCTCTCCCTCAGCGCACAAAGGGTTCATAGTAACCCAGTTTTTGGCCGTGTTCTGTGGTTTAGGCCCTGATATGCTGTTCTGCCAACGATCTAGGCCTTGCCTTGACAACAGACTAAACATTTCTATTGGATTGGGGAGTAGGATTGATATGGGGAGCACAGAATGGGGTAAGAGGGTTAAGGAATGTGTAAACAAGGGTGCTACAGGGAAAGGGACA